ATATTTTTCTTTATATTACTCATTGTTAGCTGCAACTATTAAATGAGTAATGTTTTTTTTAGTAAAACAATTTTAGATTGGAAATTTGAATTTAAAATTAATATACATGATGATGTATTTTATTGTCGTAAATAACTGCGAAATATTCAAATATTCATAAAGATCTCTATATGCCGGAAAATCAGTTTCTAGAAAATCAAGAAAAACTTTAAGAACATATTAAATTTACGTATTTTTTCTACAACTTTTTTTATGTGAGGAAATAGATGTATTTTTATCGGTAAATTTATTTCTTTGAATAAAATTTTAATATAAATGTTTTAATATTCACTAAAATTGAGAATATGTAGATAGTTTTTAGTTCTATTTATTCATATATACGTATATTAACAAAATGTTTTTAATTTTATTTGCAAATTTAGTAAATAAAATACATCAAATTGATTCAAACGTTATATTTATTTTAAACAGAAGAATATAGTTTGTTCTTGTGTTAGTAAACCAGAATGTTGAATATTTTAATGCACATTAAAAAACTCGTGATGAGCTATAAAATATTTGAAATGATAGATATTTTTAACACATTAATGTAAACTCAAGAAACGTTTTCACACTCTCGAAAGTAATGAGGTTTTACATTCGCATTAGATAAATATAAATATAAAATATAATAATATATATATATATATATATATATACATATATAATACATATATACATATATATATATATATATATATATATATATATATAATTAAATATAATAATTTAATTTATACATTATAAAATTTCTCTTATTTCATCTGTTTAAATGACTTGATTTTCACTTAATGTAAAATCTTGATAAATATAAAATAATTACGAAATAAATAATTTTGCATTGTTAAAGTACAGGTTTATAGAATTTCTTATTTAATGAAAGATCTCTTGTTTCTTTTTTAATTTTTTTTCATATCTTTTGTATTTATCTCATCATCCTTTTCTTCAAAATTTCTTCGAAATTTTGTTGTACGTCAGAGGAGAGATTTTAGTTTTCGAAATAAATCTGGATAAAAAATATTAATCCAAACACAAATTTTTAAAAAATTACAATAGCAATACTGAATTTTGTATCAAGAAAAAAAATGTGTTGAAAAATATGATGTCTCTCTCACTTGTCGGAACCATGGCTCCTCACTTTGCCTGGCAGTAGAAACGGACCCGTATTGTAAGCTAGCTCTCAGTTTAGACGTAGTATTTAATTTACAGATATTTAAATTTTTGGAATCTTTTCTTGAACGTCCAGTATTTAAAAATTTTTTTTGTGTTTTTGCTACATATATCTTCTTAAATCTTTTTAGCTAGAACTTTATATATACATATACATATATTGACAACAAATTTAAATTAAAAAATTGAATTTTTAGCATATAAATTTTTACGAATTTTTACTCTTAAAATGTGGTTATATGTATATATTTAATAAAAGATTAATGAGGTTCTTTACAGATTATGCAGTTCCCTCGTACAATTTTTTCATAATTTTCTTTTGACATTATTGTTATATTTTAAATTGTATAAACATAAACAATGAAATTAGTATATATTAACCGATATAATATATTAACCAATATATATTGCTATTCGTAAATAAGAAAATATTATTGTAAGTTGAAATATGACTGTTCGATATTGTTTTTCTTTATGATTGTTCGAAAATTTCTTAAGAGCAGATATAACCGCGACAACTCTCTACAATTATTCTCATTGCTTCGACAACTTTATATTGTGTGGCACAAATTTCCAAAGTCTCTTCTCTCTCTGTTTGAAGTCAGTAAAATTTTAAAGTCAGTAAAACACAGTTTTGTGTGAAAATAATCTTTAAATATAAATTATAATGTCAGTTGAAGAGGCTCACAGAAATGATAAGAAACATACTTTTTTGGTTAAACAAAAATTTGAAACGTGTCATAAACAAGATAGTGATCATACAAAAAATGAAATGGCTGCAGCATATGTTTATCGAAATACTATTAGTAATATTGAACGTACTCAAAGTCCAGTAAATCAAGCAATCGGACAACCTGCTGAAAATGTTATTCAAGAGCTCACGCACCGATTGGAGAAGAAGAACGTTAAAAGAGATAATGTTTATATTATGTTTAAAACAAAATTCCAGTGGTCGAAAACTTTTATACCGAAAAGCGAGAAGAAAATTGACAGGCAAATATTAACAGACTTCCTAAATGTTATATTTTGTACAAATATTACAGGTGATCATAAATTTCCACCATTTTATTTTTATGACGGTACAATGCAAAAAATCGCTAAGAATATAAAAAATATTCCTAATTTATGTACAACATACGATGAAATTCAAAAAATTCTCACAGATTGGTGCAATAATCATTTTGTGAAACTTGTGAAAAAACGTCAACAGGAAACAAATGTAAGTGACAAAGTGCTTTTAATCGTTCTTGGATCCAGGATGTTTCCTGATATTGATGCAAAATATATTACGCAAAATGACAATTTCGAGGTACAGTTTCTTTTAGGATACAATAAACAAATATCAAGAATAAAGAGACTCACGACTAAAGTAATAAGAGAAAAATGTAAAAATAAATTTCACGACTTTTGCACATCTTACGATATGAACATTTATGTTTCAACGATTAACGAGGAATGGTATAACAATCAGTGTGAACATTTCATAAAATTATTTAACGACTTTTTGTCAAATTGTTGTACAAAAGAAAATACAATGGCAACGTCTTCAATTAATCAGACACCAAAGGTAATTATAAATGTAACTGAAGAAGATACGACACTTAAGGAAATATCAGCACAAGTAGAAGAACAATCGAAAAACAGGAGAAGTGTTGGAAAATACAAAGAAAAAGTTACCCCTTCGGATGATGTAATAGAAGATCTCAATTCTCATAAAGAAGATGAAGAAAAAGAACATCAAGAACAACAGGATAATGATAAAAATAATGAAGAAATTATAGGTAGAGTAAATACAATTTTTATAAGATTAAGGATTTATGTAAATAACGATTATGTACTTTCAGATAATTTCACAAAATGTTCAAACTCTGGCCAAAAAATCGATGGAAGAGGATGTCAACAACCGGAAAGCACAGTAACCGTAGATAACATTATAAACGGTGAAGAAACTATAGAATCAAGCTCCCTAAATTTAGATAACAAAGTAGAAGTACACGTAGAAGACATTCTTAGAGTAATAGAATCATCCGATACGAGTTACGACGAGGCAAATTTGTATAGTTTTTTGGTACATTATAGCTTTTGATATTTTTAACACAATACGCAAGATGGAATATTGAAATTTTATATATGAAACTTAATGTGTTATATTTTTCTTTATATTACTCATTGTTAGCTGCAACTATTAAATGAGTAATGTTTTTTTTAGTAAAACAATTTTAGATTGGAAATTTGAATTTAAAATTAATATACATGATGATGTATTTTATTGTCGTAAATAACTGCGAAATATTCAAATATTCATAAAGATCTCTATATGCCGGAAAATCAGTTTCTAGAAAATCAAGAAAAACTTTAAGAACATATTAAATTTACGTATTTTTTCTACAACTTTTTTTATGTGAGGAAATAGATGTATTTTTATCGGTAAATTTATTTCTTTGAATAAAATTTTAATATAAATGTTTTAATATTCACTAAAATTGAGAATATGTAGATAGTTTTTAGTTCTATTTATTCATATATACGTATATTAACAAAATGTTTTTAATTTTATTTGCAAATTTAGTAAATAAAATACATCAAATTGATTCAAACGTTATATTTATTTTAAACAGAAGAATATAGTTTGTTCTTGTGTTAGTAAACCAGAATGTTGAATATTTTAATGCACATTAAAAAACTCGTGATGAGCTATAAAATATTTGAAATGATAGATATTTTTAACACATTGATGTAAACTCAAGAAACGTTTTCACACTCTTAAAAGTAATGAGGTATTACAATTGCATTAAATAAATATAAATATAATATTTAATAATATTATAATACATATATATACATATATAATACACATATATACATATATATATATATATATATATATATATATATAATTAAATATAATAATTTAATTTATACATTATAAAATTTCTCTTATTTCATCTGTTTAAATGACTTGATTTTCACTTAATGTAAAATCTTGATAAATATAAAATAATTACGAAATAAATAATTTTGCATTATTAAAGTACAGGTTTATAGAATTTCTTATTTAATGAAAGATCTCTTGTTTCTTTTTTAATTTTTTTTCATATCTTTTGTATTTATCTCATCATCCTTTTCTTCAAAATTTCTTCGGAATTTTGTTGTACGTCAGAGGAGAGATTTTAGTTTTCGAAATAAATCTGGATAAAAAATATTAATCCAAACACAAATTTTTAAAAAATTACAATAGTAATACTGAATTTTGTATCAAGAAAAAAAATGTGTTGAAAAATATGATGTCTCTCTCACCTGTCGGAACCATGGCTCCTCACTTTGCCTGGCAGTAGAAACGGACCCGTATTGTAAGCTAGCTCTCAGTTTAGACGTAGTATTTAATTTACAGATATTTAAAGTTTTGGAATCTTTTCTTGAACGTCCAGTATTTAAAAATTTTTTTTGTGTTTTTGCTACATATATCTTCTTAAATCTTTTTAGCTAGAATTTTATATATACATATACATATATTGACAACAAATTTAAATTAAAAAATTGAATTTTTAGCATATAAATTTTTACGAATTTTTACTCTTAAAATGTGGTTATATGTATATATTTAATAAAAGATTAATGAGGTTCTTTACAGATTATGCAGTTCCCTCGTACAATTTTTTCATAATTTTCTTTTGACATTATTGTTATATTTTAAATTGTATAAACATAAACAATGAAATTAGTATATATTAACCGATATAATATATTAACCAATATATATTGCTATTCGTAAATAAGAAAATATTATTGTAAGTTGAAATATGACTGTTCGATATTGTTTTTCTTTGTGATTGTTCGAAAATTTCTTAAGAGCAGATATAACCGCGACAACTCTCTACAATTATTCTCATTGCTTCGACAACTTCATATTGTGTGGCACAAATTTGCAAAGTCTCTTCTCTCTCTGTTCAAAGTCAGTAAAATTTTAAAGTCAGTAAAACGCAGTTTTGTGTGAAAATAATCTTTAAATATAAATTATAATGTCAGTTGAAGAGGCTCACAGAAATGATAAGAAACATACCTTTTTGGTTAAACAAAAATTTGAAACGTGTCATAAACAAGATAGTGATCATACAAAAAATGAAATGGCTGCAGCATATGTTTATCGAAATACTATTAGTAATATTGAACGTACTCAAAGTCCAGTAAATCAAGCAATCGGACAACCTGCTGAAAATGTTATTCAAGAGCTCACGCACCGATTGGAGAAGAAGAACGTTAAAAGAGATAATGTTTATATTATGTTTAAAACAAGATTCCAGTGGTCGAAATGTTTTATACCGAAAAGCGAGAAGAAAATTGACAAGCAAATATTAACAGACTTCCTAAATGTTATATTTTGTACAAATATTACAGGTGATCATAAATTTCCACCATTTTATTTTTATGACGGTAGAATGCAAAAAACCGCTAAGAATATAAAAAATATTCCTAATTTATGTACAAGAGGTGAAATTAAAAAAATTCTCACAGATTGGTGCAATAATCATTTTGTGAAACTTGTGAAAAAACGTCAACAGGAAACAAATGTAAGTGACAAAGTGCTTTTAATCGTTCTTGGATCCAGGATGTTTCCTGATATTGATGCAAAAAATATTACGCAAAATGACAATTTCGAGGTACAGTTTCTTTCAGGATACAATAAACAAATATCAAGAATAAAGAAACTCACGATTAGATTAATAAGAAAAAAATGTAAAAATAAATTTCACGACTTTTGCACATCTTACGATATGAACATTTATGTTTCAACGATTAACGAGGAATGGTATAACAATCAGTGTGAATATTTCATAAAATTATTTAACGACTTTTTGTCAAATTGTTGTACAAAAGAAAATACAATGGTAACGTCTTCAATTAATCAGACACCAAAGGTAATTATAAATGTAACTGAAGAAGATACGACACTTAAGGAAATATCAGCACAAGTAGAAGAACAATCGAAAAACAGGAGAAGTGTTGGAAAATACAAAGAAAAAGTTACCCCTTCAGATGATGTAATAGAAGATCTCAATTCTCATAAAGAAGATGAAGAAAAAGAACATCAAGAACAACAGGATAATGATAAAAATAATGAAGAAATTATAGGTAGAGTAAATACAATTTTTATAAGATTAAGGATTTATGTAAATAACGATTATGTACTTTCAGATAATTTCACAAAATGTTCAAACTCTGGCCAAAAAATCGATGGAAGAGAGTGTCAACAACTGGAAAGCACAGTAACCGTAGATAACATTATAAACGGTGAAGAAAATATAGAATCAAGCTCCCTAAATTTAGATAACAAAGTAGAAGTACACGTAGAAGACATTCTTAGAGTAATAGAATCATCCGATACGAGTTACGACGAGGCAAATTTGTATAGTTTTTTGGTACATTATAGCTTTTGATATTTTTAACACAATACGCAAGATGGAATATTGAAATTTTATATATGAAACTTAATGTGTCATATGTTTCTTTATATTACTCATTGTTAGCTGCAACTATTAAATGAGTAATGTTTTTTTTTAGTAAAACAATTTTAGATTGGAAATTTGAATTTAAAATTAATATACATGATGATGTATTTTATTGTTGTAAATAACTGCGAAATATTCAAATATTCATAAAGATCTCTATATGCCGGAAAATCAGTTTCTAGAAAATCAAGAAAAACTTTAAGAACATATTAAATTTACGTATTTTTTCCACAACTTTTTTTATGTGAGGAAATAGATGTATTTTTATCGGTAAATTTATTTCTTTGAATAAAATTTTAATATAAATGTTTTAATATTCACTAAAATTGAGAATATGTAGATAGTTTTTAGTTCTATTTATTCATATATACGTATATTAACAAAATGTTTTTAATTTTATTTGCAAATTTAGTAAATAAAATACATCAAATTGATTCAAACGTTATATTTATTTTAAACAGAAGAATATAGTTTGTTCTTGTGTTAGTAAAACAGAATGTTGAATATTTTAATGCACATTAAAAAACTCGTGATGAGCTATAAAATATTTGAAATGATAGATATTTTTAACACATTGATGTAAACTCAAGAAACGTTTTCACACTCTTAAAAGTAATGAGGTATTACAATTGCATTAAATAAATATAAATATATATTTAATAATATTATAATACATATATATACATATATAATACACATATATACATATATATATATATATATATATATATATATTAAATATAATAATTTAATTTATACATTATAAAATTTCTCTTATTTCATCTGTTTAAATGACTTGATTTTCACTTAATGTAAAATCTTGATAAATATAAAATAATTACGAAATAAATAATTTTGCATTATTAAAGTACAGGTTTATAGAATTTCTTATTTAATGAAAGATCTCTTGTTTCTTTTTTAATTTTTTTTTCATATCTTTTGTATTTATCTCATCATCCTTTTCTTCAAAATTTCTTCGAATTTTGTTGTACGTCAGAGGAGAGATTTTAGTTTTCGAAATAAATCTGGATAAAAAATATTAATCCAAACACAAATTTTTAAAAAATTACAATAGCAATACTGAATTTTGTATCAAGAAAAAAAATGTGTTGAAAAATATGATGTCTCTCTCACCTGTCGGAACCATGGCTCCTCACTTTGCCTGGCAGTAGAGGCGGACCCGGGCCGCGCTGTGCCCGAGCCTGAGGCCCGCAGGGCGCAGCCAGTTTCCCGGCCGTGGCAGGGTCGTGGCCCCCATTACTCCGGGCGCAATCCCCGAGCCGTAATTCCCCAGGGGCCCCAGGGTGCCGGTTGTGCCCTTCAGCGTGGTCATGCCCATTGGTAGACCGGCGCTTGCTCCGTTCGATCCGTACATCTGTTGCACTAAAATGCCGTAAGACACATCAGTCCAGCCACACCACCTGCATCCCTCTCGACGATAAAGTCGACTTTACTTTTACATACTTCGCGCAATTAATTTAGGAGACAATTTAGGGTTCGAGAGATAATATATCAATATATTTATTTTATTATATATTCTATTGTTGTACAAGACTGTTTTAAAAATAAAATTGTAGGAATTTTTAGAGAAGCAGAAGAATAATTTTTAGATTCCGGAATAAATTATAGCTACATTTATAACTACATTTGTATAGAGCTTTTCTATTTCTTTTGCTTTTATTTATATATATTTAAATTTCACTAATTACGTGCACTTCATTCATATTCTCCTTTTATATTGTATATATTATTTCATAAACCAAATTTGATAAAAAAATTTGATTTACGAAATATATGTGAAAAGCGTAACTATATGTCAGAGCATATAATCATATCATTTAATGAACAGAATTATATAATTAAAGCGGATATCACTGAAAAGGAACATGTTACTATCTCTTTTAAATTCTAAGATAAATTATATATTATTATACCTAAAACGAATGTAATCATACAGAATAATAAGGTTGATTTTACTTTTACATACTTTGCGCAATTAATTTAGAAGACATTTTAATATTCGAGATATATTTTATCTTCTTTGTATATTTATTCAAATTATGTTACAAAACATTCTTAAGAAGAAATTTTTAAAAGATCTAAAAGAGCAGAGAAAGAATTTTTGATTTCGAAACTGTTTGAGCAATCGTGAACTTGTAGTAGTTGTGCTCCTTAATCTGTAACATCATTGAGAAAGCTGTATATCTAGATATTTACACATTATATTATTTATACAATGTTAGCATTTTAAATTCTTTATTACTGTCGTTTATTGTAGAGATATTTGTTCGTCACTTATTACAAAGCAATATTTTATTTATTAATAAAATATCATAAAACTTGCAAATGTGCAACAAAATCTGTAGAAATCTTGATACTATATTATATTTTATATACCATAAAGTCAAAATTTGAAATGGATTCTAATCTTAAGAGCACGACGTAACTGTAGAGAACGAGATTAAAAATTCTCAAGCGCAACATTTTTGACATTCGCAATGCATGCAATCTATTTTCCCGTCGTCGTGCGACAGCCGACATGCGTTGCGCGCTTTTCCGCGCGCGATTACGCGGTGAATTTTCCGGCGCTCTTTCAGCCGTCACTTATATCTATGTACGGACGAATGGGATAAACTTTGCTTTATGCGCGGGATCCGGGTCAGGCGGATTTTGCAAACTTATACGGTCGAGGGAAACGCGGTTAACGTTCCCGGCGATTTTTCGGCGCGCGCGAAACGTGACGTCGCGAGAGCGTGAAATCTACGCGCGGAACGTGACAGGGATAAGAGACGACCGACCGGGCGATCTTTCGGAGACACTTGGCGAAGTTGCACGTATTTACGGTTAACTATGCAAAAGTTTGGGCGATTCCGCGAGTTGCCGTACGTCACAGTTATCTGACGTCTCTCGCAAATTATGCCCGAACGAAAGCTGAGAACGTGAATGGCGTAAAGCCCACCTTTCTCGTCATACAGGAATGTGTTAGTCCTCGAGCAAACTTTAAGCAAGCGCCACTAATTCAATATATGTAGAATTATTAATTATTGTACTTATTATTTTTATTTCAATTATATATATATATATATATATATATATATATATTATAAAATTTTGTAAATTTTATATAAATATAAAAATTATAAATCTTTATAATTTAATACATATATAATTTTTTACATTGTGTACGATATTTTCTCGATATTTTTCATTATTTTTATTTCATGTCATGTACATATATTTATTGCATTTTTTTTATTTAAATTTTTCCCGCTACGAGGGTCGTTCATAAAGTTCGTATCTTTAAAGAAAAGGAAACTTTATGAACGACCCACGTATAATAAATTTTTCGCAAATGATAAATGATAAATCTTATACATTTTCTATATTATTTTTCGATAAATCTTTTGTATACATAGAAAAGCATGTAATTTATATTTTCAAAAACGTTAGAATATGTGGACTAAACAGCGAAGAAATGACTTGACGACATTCTTGAGTTTTTACCGACTTAAATAATGTTTCAGAATAAACATTGCAGCATTAAATATATGCTCGGAACGTGAGGGATAAAATTGCGCGCAACTTTAGAAATTTGTGGCAATCGCGTATTAGTTTCATAAAAGTTTCGATTCTCGTATATGTATCACGTGCAAAGAACCGGGCATCGCGTTGCTGATTTAAAGGGAATCATATCGAGTATGTTTTAATCGAATTCGCTATGAAAGTATAATTCATTATCGGTTTATACAGATACAAAAAGAACATCCCTAATATACATCGCTAATACAAACGATTTAAGCGATCTGTTACATAATCAAACGATTAATTGCTCTCTATCGTATTACAAATTCGATGGTGCAGGTTTGGCTCGTGTGACAGAACGCGGTAATAGTGTTACGTTACATTATGCTACAGAATATGGCATAGCATGCGTTTCTCATATTTTTACGAAAACGTTTGCGCCGCTTATGATATATTACTCTATTATACGTTTTCGCTGCATAGCTTGAATTTTAATGGCTGTAATGACGATCAATACGGTGTAATATAAAGAGGGGGATTTATTACTATATACCCAGCAAACACAAAGTAACAATTACATAACATCAATGTTACAATTTCCCACTCAACAATATAACTTGTACGTAACAGTTATATTATTGAGTGGGAAACTGTAACATTGATGTTATGTAATTGTTACTTTGTGTTTGCTGGGATATATATATATATATATATATATATATATATATTGCGTTTAAAGCGATGATATTATTTTATGTAAAAAAGTGCACATTTACCGTCATCTTCTAATATATATATCCTATCTGGCGAATAATTGCGCGAATATACATTTTCGCGCGATCTCTCTTAATTCAAAATGTCACTCACAGGAAAAGAGGTGCGCATTCCGCGGCGAAATTCTCGTCTTACCTCATAAAACGAGAGCGAGGCCATTTTTTGGCCTCTTCGACGACGTCGGCGTTTTCCGTAAATTTGCCGTTCGCAGACGATATTTTTCAAAGTATCGAAAAAAAGGACGACGCAGCGTCCTAAAGAATGTCATTCGGTCAAAAAATTTATGATCGACGCCGAAACTGTAGAAGAGAGCCGCGAAAATGGCTTTATGGAACTGGAGGAAAGGGATTTTTTTATCGTCGACGAATTTTTGTTCTTGTTTCCAATATTATTTCGCGATATAAAATTTTTTAAATATTGTTGTTTGTATATTAATTTCCATAAACAAAGCCATGTACAGATTTACATTCAAATTTTAATTCAAAGTTTAAAACAAAAGTTAAATTTAAATTTTGGATTTTATGAATTTTTATTTTAATTTTTTATTTTGAATTTTATTTTATTTTAAAATTGATTGCACACATATTTCTCTCCTCGATGTAATATGTCGAGAAAGAAGGCTATTAATCGCGTTTCATAAATAAATTTCTCCGTGTATAGCTGTAATAAAAGCATCGAAATTCGATATTCGCAAACGACGACTAAGATTTCTCGACATTCCGT